TACATTCACTTTTGATTACTGTGATATTGTAGAATGCCCATTCCCTAAGTCACAGATTCAAGCCATTTATAAAGATATCCCACAAGCAAAAGACCCTTACGTTTGTGTAGTAGATGAACAATGGGGTTATGACTGTAACTACTGGGGGGCTGCGGGATGGAATACTGGGCCTGCCTGGGGTTATAAACCCAAAAGTGCTTTATCTAAGATAGACAATCAGGGTAGATCCCTCCTTCAAAGAATGACTTTAAGAAAGCCTGGAGGAAGTACCCCTATGAAATTAATGTTAAATATTGAACATCCTGGCCCCGAGGATGCAGACCGATATGTAATGGGAATGTATTGGAAGAAAGGTTCCTACAACAAATTAGGTCATTTCTACCTCAGAGATATGTACCACTCTCCAGAGTGGCAAGGGGCTGATCATATGGTCCCAAATCCGCTAAAACCACATATCCAGTCCTTTAAAGATATGATGGCCATCGCTAACCCCACTTTTGAAGATACCATGGCCGCTGAAACTGGATTCAATGACATTAATTTGTGGTTAGAATGGATGAGGTATAATGCCAACAAACATAATAAAACAGCATGTTATGTATGTGGCGGTGCCCGACCCCACCTTGGCACCGTCCCCCTAATTCTCCCTTTAGAGATAGAAGATTGCTTCTTAAGCCTTTTTGCCTACCAATATGACTTTAATAGGTCCCTCTGCATGGCATGGACGGCAGAATACCCTCTCTTAGTTGAAAATGTTAAGCCACCAGATGGAATCACAGTCTATAGAGGTAATTACACTTGTTATGCCATGTATGACGGGATTGGTAAATTCATGGGTAACTTTTCTAAAGGTTATTGCGCCACTTACAGAACTGTTCCTATACACCTGTTGCAACACCATACCAGGTCATTGGGGGATATTTACTGGTTATGTGGGGATCTACAGTTAAGATCTAGGCTGGAAACTGAGTGGTGGGGTGAGTGTACCCTGGCCAAAGTTATCATGCCCATTCATATTATTTCTGATAATCATCATGACACATACGACCCTCCACATACACCAGCCAGAGTAAGGTGCGAAACCCCAGTAAAAGGCAGTTTTGACCCCCACATTTACATAGATGCCATTGGGGTGCCTAGGGGGGTACCTAATGAATTTAAAGCTAGAGATGAAGTAGCTGCAGGTTTTGAATCACTTTTTACCATAGTCACTGCCAACAAAAACCTTAATTGGATTAATTATATCTATTACAACGAACAGCGTTTTGTCAACTACACCAGGGATGCCCTCCAGGGCCTGGCCGAGCAGTTGCAGGCCACATCCCAGATGACCTTCCAGAACAGAATGGCCTTAGACATGATTCTAGCTGAAAAGGGGGGTGTATGTAAAATACTACCTGACACCATGACTTGTTGCACTTATATCCCAGAAAACACAGGTCCTAATGGTAAAGTCACTCTGGCCATAGCTAAATTAAATAGACTCTCAGAAGAGTTAAAGAGAAACTCTGGAGTTACTGATCCCTGGGAAAAATGGTTTGGTTGGATGACTGGTTGGCAGAGAGCTTTAGTCCAGATTGGTATTGCCTTACTAATTTTTCTTTTTTCTCGCTCTTCTCATTTGTTGTGTCCTCCCATGCTTAAGGAAATTCCTGCAGAAAACTGTAAACCAAGCAACACCAACCTTCACTCATCTGACAATCGATGATCAAGACCTCATCTCACCCTGTATTCCGCTACAAACTCTCCCGTATACTGATGAAGTGCAGAAAGTCTAGGAAGGGACAGTACAGGGACAGCGTCCGTCTTTATGGGTAGACTGCCGTACGGAGAAGTAGTGGATAAGCCACTATGGGTTACCAGCGGAGTGAAGAGTGTTCCTGAACCGTACTGACGGATGTGCTGCAGCCTGTTAGGGTCAAGAGAGGGATAGACTTGCACTTTGCATTAACACTAAGTCAGCGGTCATGGGGTTTCTGTGTCTTTGGGCTAATACTTCTTCTGATACTAACAAATAAAGTTTTGTCTTTTAGCAAATAACATTTTAGGGGGGACTGTTGTAGAATTATTAGGCCTCTATAAATCTGTAAGGCCCCTTTAAATCCTCTTGCTATACCTCTAAGAGGCCCCCATAGTTTTACAAGGAAGCTTTGTCTATAGAACATAGAATTTGCATGTCAGCAAGAAATAGCTTTGATAAAATGTGTATTTACTAAAATCCTTGAAACTTAACCTTGAGAAACTAACAAGTGCCAGCTACGCTCTAAATGGATAGCTGCCAAAAGGCCCCTCCCGTCGAGTGAGCTCCTCATGTTAACAAAATGGCGCTAAAACCTGTAGGAGTTAAGAAATTACGTAGATAGTGACCTAAGAATGGGGAGGGCATTTTACTAACATCTTAGCACCTAAGCCAATTAACAATGTCTATTTGTCTATATCTTGATTTTCTTCAATGATGTAATAATGCCTTTATAAGGGTCTGCGCACCCATTTTCTGTCAGAAGCCATTAAACTTCTCTGAAGTTCTTTCATTACCCTGAACCTTGTGTCTCAGTGTGAATTTACTTCTGCGTGCACGCAACTTTATTATCTTTAATTTGGACAGGAACAGATAGTCATTCAAACTAATTGGTTTGCAGTAAATTATCTACTACAATATCCTTCTTTAGAACAGGTGCCCACAATTGCATAGAATATTCAATATGTGGTCTTACCAGTGATTTATAAAGAGGGAAAATAATATTCTCGTCCAGATAATGAATGCCCTTTTTTATGCATGACAATGCCTTACTGGCCTTAGCCACTGCTGATTGACATTGCACATTGTTGCATAGTTTGTCTATAACAATTCCCAAGTCCTTTTTGTGTGTTGTTATCCTGAATTCGATTCCATTAAGGGTATACATTGCTTGTGCATTCTTTAAGCCGAAGTGCATAACTTTGCATTGTTTAACATTTAACTTCATCTGCCATTTGAGTGCCCAGTCCCCCAGTCTATCTAAATCCCTCTGCAGCAAAGTTATATCTTGCTCAAATTGTATTACTTTACAGAGTTTTGTTTCATCTGCAAACACTGAAACATGACGTTCAATGCTTTTTTCAAGATCATTTATATATATGTTAAATAGAAGGGGTCCCAGAACAGAACCCTGAGGGACACCACTTGCCACCTCTGTCCAGCTTGAAATTTTCCATTAATGACAACTCTTTGTACTCTATTTTTAAGCCAATGTTCTACCCAAGAACAAGCATTTTCATCTAGACCGATTTCTTTGAGTTTGAACACTAATCGATTGTGTGGAACTGTATCAAATACCTTGGCAAAATCAAAATAGATCACATCCACTGCAGCACCTTGATCTATACTTCTACTTACTTCTTGGTAGAATGCAATAAAGTTAGTTTGATATGACCTGTGCTTCATACAACCATGCTGATTTTTGCTTATAACCATGTTCTTCTCAAGGAATTGTTGAATATTATCTCTTAATAACCTTTCAAATATTTTCCCAGCCACAGAAGTTAAAGGGACACTCCAGGCACCCAGACCACTTCTTCCCATTGGAGAGGTCTGGGTGCCAACTCCCACTACCCAGTTTTTTATAAACTGCAATAATTACCTTGCAGGGTTAACTCCACCTCTAGTGGCTGACTACTAGACAGCAACTAGAGGGCACTTCCGTGTCCATAGCACAGGAAACCTGTGCTAGAGCGTCGCTGGACGTCCTCACACTGTGTGAGGACCTCCAGCGTCACTCAATTCCCCATAGGAAAGAATTGAAAAGAATTTTCAATGCTTTCCTATGGAGAGCTCGCATGCGCATTAGGTTTCCTCAGCCGGCGGGCGGGATCAGTCTCTCCCACCGGCTGACGTAATCACTGGGAGGAGCGGCGGCGACCCGAAACCACCGCCGAGGGACATCCCATGGGATGGGGGATTGTTTTCCTGGCACTGGAGAGTCACTTTAAGCTCACAGGTCTATAATTTCCAAGCAAGGATCTTGAACCCTTTTTGAATATAGGAACCACATGTGCCTTCCTCCAATCCTCCAGAACACTTCCTGAAAGAAAAGAATCTTGAAAGATTAAAATCAGAGGTTCACTTATTTCTACACTTAGTTCCTTAAGTACTCATGGATGAATACCATCAGGCCCTGGAGCTTTGTTTATATGAACTTTCTTTAGTTACTTCAACACCTTGTCTTGAGTTAACCAATTACAACTTTTATGCAAGTTTTTAGCAGGAATCATTTGCACATCTATATGGGTTCTTCCTTAATATATCAAATATTATTCCCAGACATACTTAAATGTAAGCCCCATTCCAGACCAAAGAGAGATTGGTATGATACTTTGTTAGGGACTACAGGAACAGCTACAGGGTATCTAAATGCTATGGATCTAGAGGTAGTGAGAAATAAAATAGCAGGTGTAGGCATAGATTTGGACAGTGCACTCAAGTTACAAGCTCAATGGATGCCCTCCATATTTCTCCCTCAAGCCTTTACCCTATCCTACAACAACGAGGCCCTTCAGCTATTTAACATGAGTGTGTATGAACCCTTATATGTGGCTTAGAATTGATACTAACCAACAAAGCTGTAATGCTACAATGTGCATAGCACTCTTTGCAGCACATTCCTTTCTAAAAAGTTACTTTTGTTAACCTTGGTATTATAGCATAGCTTAGATAAGACGTTTAAGTAATTGTTGCTTGTTTTCAGGTACACATGTGCAGTAGACTAATGCCATTTTATATATGCAATGCTCTCCCAATTAAAACATGAGATGATATTTGAACTACAACAAAGTCTGTGGTTTTATTATCGGTTTTCCTGAGCACTCGTACATCTAATTAGGTGCCTCTGGTTATCTCTTGGATGATTTATCCATTGTAAATTTCTATATCAGGGGGTAGGAGATAGGAAACCAGGTATAAAGTACAAACTTTTAAATAGCGAACACCTTATTGAGCAAAAACATTGAAACTTATTCTAGGGGTTTATTCACAAAAATGTTAAAAGTCAAAGAGTTGAAAAATAATCACATTCCATCAACCAGTCTTTCTTGGTTTCTTATGGCTCAATGTTTCTCCTCTGCATTCACAATTTCAAAGTAATGTTGGTTGTATCCTTACTGGCTCGCCCGTTGGATTCCCTCACCTTTGCTCATGCAATGTTACAACATTATGGGTTATGATACAATAATATGCATTACCAACCCCATCCGCTACGTATTGGGTATAAGGTGTTTGGGTACCAAATGCTGTTTCTGTGTAGTTGCACATGGTGAACGTTGATGAAATGAACTCTAATTCTAACTGCTCTGTCAATGTGTTCTTTCAATGAAAATGGTAAATATATATATATATATATAGTCAAGAAATTTGTGCAAAACCCTACATGTGTTGCGTTTAGTCAATACCCTTTTAACATCCTTTCCAATAAGATTACTGCACACTATGAAACTACAGTAAGAGGGGGTGGCAAACTATTGTAGTAATTTATTTAATGGCTCTAAGTGGTGGGAGTTATACTTTCAGCATTGTACAATACTTCATGCTGACTGGACTAGAACGTTCCTTTAAATATCCCTCCATCTTTGGTTTGAGTAAGCTATGTACTCCAGCAGATGGCGCAATGTACCATTTCCCAGATATGGCTATGCCTGTGACTGAGTGATACTGAGAGCCAATGGATGAGTGGAGGCATGGCTAGGCTCCTTTCTATATAAGTGACTGCTGGTCAGCTTTGCTTTAGTCAGCTGAGTAAAGAAGTATTGAATAGGAGTCTCGTATAGGGGTGGGGAAGCTTAATTCATACAGCTTTCTTACAATTAATGCAAACATTTTTGTAACTTGAAGCAAACGTTTGCTAGAAACCTTAGTTTAAGTGAAATCCGAAGTAACTTCTGTAACATAAGAGATCGACCTCCCTTTACCCTATAAGAGAAGGTAAGTGACTTTTCTATAATAACTGAAAGCACAAGTTTTTGCGTGTTTCTTATTAACACCTGCTCACTGTCTGAGAGATTTTGATTTTATTCCATGTGACTTCTACAGCTTTCAGGTTCTGTTAAGCCTATTTATATAGTTAATGAACCAGTATCAATACATACATGATTAGGGTTTGGATAAATCTCTCTGGGGAGGAATATTTGCTGGGTTGCATTAACCCTTTGAGTGTTAGAAGTGACCTAACGTATTGCACATCTGACAGCCAAAACGAGTTGGAACGTTAAGGTTCCGTGTAGTTCTGGCCCCTTGCTATCCTACATTGCGCCTTTCGTGGAATGTTTTTAGTTCAAGTATCACTGTAATGGTCAGCTCTGATCACTAAGCTTACATTGTAACGGGTGTTAGTTAACTGCTTCTGCTTGCAACTGTTACCGTATCCGGGGCTCCATTTGAGCTGGGCCTATTCTACAGACATGTCCAGGCTTGTCCTCTAAGAATAGAGGGAGGAGCTTCGGCAGTGACGGCCTGACTTGACATTCGGGGATGAACATCCATAGTGTTCTCTCATTGGCTGAGGAGAAAGGAAGGTCGAGCGCTGCCCATAGTGGGCGTGGCCTAACAATCTGTCATGGCCGTTTACTGTCCCTCTGTCACATTAGTAGGGTACAGCAACGCATGGAATAGTTGAAAGGGGGCGGAGGAAGCACTGTTACCAGCCTCTGTTTAATGTGAGCGCTCAGGCACTCTCCATCTATTTTGGGGGATATTGCCGTGTTCCATTTCTGTCAGTCTCATTCAAAGCAGGAATCTTTGATGGCATGCTCCATAAAACTATTGTTTAATGTCACTAGAGCAAATAACATTAGGTTAAGACTGTCCCTTGTATGATTCACTGGGACCAACGTAAGCCTAATTAAGTAATCAGTGACCCTTAACTCTTTCTTTACTAGGGTTAGGTAATAGTTTGTGTGGCAAACCTAGCCACTTGGGACTGCCTAAGATAGAATGGTTGTGCCTATTTTCTGTTGTGTACTGCGCGCCGGTATAGTGTGGCGTCTCCGGCTATGTTTAATTTATGCTGTACTGTGTATGTCTGTTCGAATCCTCCCCATTCGTTAGCATTGCTATTAAAACTGACTAAGTTGTATATTTTGAAGTAGAAAGGTAACGGTTTATGTCCTCGTAGTTTTCATTACTGTATGTTACAGCAGGGGCTGTTGGGAGGAGGACCTGGAAACGGTAGTCTCCCTCCAGTCCCCTCAACCAAAACCCCTGCTGCCCATCTTTGGAAACCCCTGTTGAGTGACCTGCTTTAAATATCAGTTATTTTTAATAAAGTGACAGTTGAGTGACCTGCTTTAAATATCAGTCTTTTTGAATAAAGTGGCAGTTGACGCTCAGACTGTGTTTCGTCTGGTTCTTGGGAGGATTTGGAAATATTGCCTGCTTACAGCTTTGTACTTGGTTATTGCATTCTACCAGCAGAGATCCTGGGATTATAAAATTGCAGCTCCGCAACAGTTTGGAAAATGGATTTTACCAGTTCTGTTACAGGCTGGGATATATATATATATATATTATTGTTATTGTAACGGTCTGGCCCCAGGTCGTCGGCTCGGGGAAGATCCATCAGGGCTCCTCTGATGTCGTGGATGTCCCAGAGCAGATACTCTGCCAGACTCCCAAAGTCACCAGCCTTCCACAACAAGCCTGGGCCACTATAGTTCTCACCCTCTGGTACGCTGTCCTCAGCCATCCACTGGTTGTACCGGGTTGCGTTTACTTTAGCGCCCAGTAAGCCTCGTCCAGCCTCTGCTCCTTCCAGACTAGGTCCTCAAGCTCCGTCACCCACCCCTCCAGGGGCTGCTCTCGCAGGAGAGGCAACTGCATGGTCATTTGTACCTGGAGCTACTGCTCCTCGCTTGGAAGGCTTTCTCTCCGCCGAAGCTGCAGGGCCTTGAACCAGAGCTCCTTCTGTCTGGCATCTCTGTAGTCCAGCATGCCCTCCGCTGATACAGGCCCATCCGGTTGGGCCAAGTTGTGCTGTAGCCTCCAAAGAAACTCCTCATATGGTGACGCTCCATCCTCCCAAGTTCCTCTGCAGACAGAGGGATAGCGCTAGCACTGGTGCAGCGTCCCTATTTGTAATAATCCAAACTCTGTCTCCAGGATGCTTCCCACTTGCTAGGAAGCCATCCCACCACTGCCACCAGATGTGGCAGATCGCCTGGCACCCCGACTGGGTACCTCCGCCAATCACGCTTCCGAATGCTCACGGAGTACCATAAGCACTGTAGCCCCCTAGCCACCGCAGCTTGGCTGGGAGTCATCTGTTTATTAGAGGCCACACACAGCCTTTTATGCAAACCCCATGCAAGGGGTTTCCTACACAAAATAACAGGGTAATCCCTCCCCTGTACCTGAGAGATAATTGAGTCAGGAACTGTACAAACTCCATTATCTCCAGGCACAGAAAACACATTTTACAAACACCCTAAAATATATAAAAAACCCACAAAAGTCACATCCCCTGATAGCCCCAATCTGGTTGACCAATATACCCAAAATTCACCCAGATCGGTTTGGGTTTTCCATGGAAGTCAAAATTTGACCAACCGCACACAATCGATCAAGTTCGGTAGTTTAAAAACGAACAAACTACCGAACGTAGTCAATAGTCATACCGTGGAGCTTGTTCACCTTGTTCGTGGGAACGATTCCCCGAACAGTACCCTTCTAAGTTGTTTAGAACCGAATGCAAGCGATGATGTAAGTCGAGAGGTGTTCGGGAGTTTCAGTGTCCGATTTTAGTTCCATGAATTCGATGACCAAACACCGCTGCCTGCGTTTTTATGCAAACAAGATGGTCGCCACCTGGTTGTCGTTCATACTAATTGCGGCCACTCAAACAAACAATTAGAGCACTGCGGTGGAACCTGTTACCAGATGTCAATTGGCCTTAACAAGCACCTATGTGGTCTCTAGTCCGTGCGGTTGTTCAGGAGTTAGTTTGGTTCCTGAACCAAATGGAAAATCCCACAAACCAAGTCTTTTCACATGGCTTTTACAGGGTCCTCGGGCAAGAGGCTGGCAAGAAGGCTCCTCCAGGAGCGCGTGGCGAGGTTACTTTTGCCACAGTCCCTAATGCCCTTAGTTCTGCATGTAAGTGAGACACTCTCTAGTGGCTGTCTACCAGAAAGTCACTAGACGCGCTTCCTGCTTGATAGGCGACTTTTGGTCATCTAATTGATGCTGCACGTTCTCACGCTTAGCATGAGGACATCCAGTGTCAAAGAAATCCCCATAGGAAAGCATTAAATCAATGCTTTCCTATAGGGAGGGCGTAATGCGCTTACGGTGCTTGCCCATCGGGTGACATCGGAGGAGAGCCAAGGGACATCGGTGCTGGAATCAGTTAAGTGAATAAGGTTTTTTTTTAACAGTTTATTGGCCAGGGCAGCGAGCGAGGGGGGGAGGCAGTTCTCTTCCATTTAGGAGTTATATCACTTTGTTTATGCAGTACTAGCCTGATCTCCCCTGTGACTTACACAGCCGCTGTACACACTAAATCTAATTTTTAAACTTCCTTTACAGCACTGTGTAATTTAGAATTATTCTCCTACTTTTTTAAAGGGACATTAAGGTCACCCAGACTACTAAATCTTTTTTTTTTTTTTTTTTATGTTTACATTGCAGCCCTAATGCCTTCCTGATGTTAGTACATTCCATGTATTCCTCCAGCGTGGACTTTAATACTGTTAGGACTGCATCAAATGTCCTAGAGTCTTGGTATAAGTTCTTGTTCATAACAGGACACCCAGGTATCAAGCAATAGCTGGGTCTACCCTCTGTCAGCCGGGCAATTTTTAGTAACCACAGGCTGACTGAATAGCTTATGCAGTGCTTAAAGTCTGCACTGCATATGTTTAAATCCATTCAGAACAACGCAGCTCAGCAATCCTGTTCAGCCGCAGTTAAACTTTCTGGTAAATTGTTAATCCCTGGTTTCCTATATTTACTCATTTAAAGAAATACACCTGCAAATTGGTTCAGACGAGCACAATAGTGTATTTTTATTTATACTAAATTACATGGCACTAAAAAAAATTCTTGCGGCACAAATCAGCACATTCGAATTGAAAATAAAAGTAGTGCTTTTTTTTTTTCTTTTTTTTTTTTAAACTCTATTTTCCTTCTTTAATAGATGATTGAAACACTTGTAACATCAGACGCTCAAGACCTTCTTTACCAGTTGAACTCACTCTTCGAGCAGGAGCTGAAATGTCAGCCAAAGGCTTGTGGCTTGCGCCTTATTGAAACAACTCATGACAATGGCCTTCGGATGACTGCTAGACTTCGTGACTTTGAAGTGAAAGATTTGCTTAGCTTAACTCAGTTCTTTGGTTTCAGTACAGAAACATTCTCTTTATCTGTTAATCTTTTGGATCGTTTCCTGTCCAGAATGAAAGTAAGTTATTTTAATATAAATATGCATATTCTATTCATAAATACATGTGCCATCACTTTGTGAAATGTAATATAGTGTTTATAGTGGCAGAGAAAAAAAGTAAAAATGCTAATTGTAAATATAACTCACAATAATGAAAACTTGACTTGTGCATTTTCAAGTATAATTTTTACATGCTGCATCTTTCAATGGCCTCCCACTTAATTTCTTTTTCAGATACAGCCAAAACATCTAGGCTGTGTAGGACTCACCTGTTTCTACCTCTCTGTAAAAGCAACTGAAGAAGAAAGAAATGTGCCATTAGCGACAGACCTATTAAGAATAAGTCAGTACAAATTCACAGTTTTTGATATGATGAGAATGGAAAAGATTGTTCTAGAGAAGCTGGGTTGGAAAGTTAAAGCCACAACAGCATTCCACTTCTTACAACTTTACCACTCCCTTGTTTATGAGAACTTGACTAACGAAAGGTAACTTTTTGTGTGTGTGTTTTTTGGTTTTAAACTTCATGTAGATCAGAATGATGGATTAGGAAATAAATATAAGAGCAACTCCTCTCATATTTACTACTGTTAACTATTTTGTTTATTTTTTTTAAAATGTTCTATACTCATTCATATATATTCTGATCCATGCATGAGCATTACAAATTGTTTTTGAAACAAAGGCTACCTGTATATAATTTTCAGAACTTTGCAGAATGACACTAGAAAAACAAAGCATGATTTCTCAGCTGATTGCTCTCTGCCAGTGACAAACGGCTTAGCTGAGGAGAGTTAAAAGTTATTGCTAAGAAATGTCCGGCTCTCTGGTGTTGGTAGTGGAGATGGGATGCTATGCCAGGTGGACCACAGGCACAATTTAAAAAACAGTTTGATTACATATAATAGGGATGTGCTAAGGCACTCTTGGTGTGTTCCTTTAATGCAAAGTCTGGCACTTTTTTATAATACATTTAATAATCGTAAATATATTGTAGTTTAGTAAAGCTTTCAATGCATTCCTGTCATCTGTCTTTTCAGCCTAAAAATAAATTATCTGATGACAGAGCTAAAGTAACTGGTGCATATGTCCTATCAATACCATAAGGATTGAATTTGACCCGAGACACATTTAACTATTCCTTTTTGTTGTAGGAAGAAACTTTTTGTGCTTGACAAACTTGAAACACATCTTAAAGCCTGTCATGGTAGAATTGGGTTCTCCAAAGCAAAGGTGAGTCAAAACAGCAGTGCACTTGAATGCAAACTGTTTGTCTTTCATTGGAAAAACTATGAAATGAATATTCAGTGCAGTTTTAACTGGCACAAAAGTGAAGAGTTCAGTTGAATAGTTTGTTTCATATCCAGGATTTGTCAAATTATTATTGACATTTATATAGCACCGTTTTATTTTGCAGCTCTTTACAATATTCTAAAGGGGGCATTTAACAATAAGTGAGACTGTTACAAAAGTTACATGAACAATAGGTTGATGAGGGCCATGCTCAAGAGGGCCCGTTGGAGGGAGAGCAAAATATTCCCCATAACCAACCCCATGGTCTACATGTGAGAAGGCTAGGTTACTTTTTGTAATTTCAAGACTGTGTGATCCTGCTATACCTACTCATCTGTATTTGTAGGTTGTCATTAAGCTCAAGGGATTATCACCATATTCATAGGTTAGTAACAGGTGGCATGTTCCTAAATCTTTGCTGGACAGGAGTTTTATTAGAAAGATAATTGATGTAGCATCTCTCTGGTCAGGTTCTATCTATCTCCCAATATGGACAGAAGTATTGGGACACCTGATCATTACACCAGTGAGTCTTATGGTCACATCCAAAAAGGAATCTGAAGTTACCACAGTACTCCAAATAGGCAGTAAAATAACAAGACACAGGTACTGCTATCCCACCTCACTGTGGCTCCTACAGTGATAAAGCAAACAAAATTTAGAAAAAAGGGGGGGGGGGGCACAACCACAAGTGGGAGGTTATGCCCTGATGGTGGACAACAAGGCCTGGCCTCCTACCTCTGTTTCAGTTCATCGCAAAAATGTTCGATGGAGTTGAGGTCAGGGCTTTGTGCAGGCCAGTCGAGTTCTTCCACACCAAACTTATCCAACCATGTCTTTATGTTCTTTGATTCTGGCACTGTTATTCTGGAATAGGAAAGGGCCTTCTCTCAACTGTCCCCATAAAGTTGGAATCATAGCATTATCTAAAATGTCTTGGTATGCTGAAGCATTAAGATTTCTCTTCACTGGAAGTAAGGGGTCTAGCTCAAACCTTAGACAAAGGGCCCTTAATACCATTTGTCCTCTTCCACCAAACTTTACAATTAGCACAAGGTAGTCAGGCCGGTAACATTCTCCTTGCATCCTCCCAAATGGGGCGTAGGTGAAATACAAGAGTACAGCACAATATAGGGGAAAAATATGGGGAATGACACACAGCAATTTACAAACAGGCAGCGGTCCCATCACAGACTGCATGACTAGGTGCCTAATTTTATCCACTTGTGGCAATGGGTATGATTGAAAGATTGAAACTCCATAATTAAGAGTTGTGTATCAATGTTTGTCCATATAGAGTGTGTATGTATAAAATATAATTTTTCTTTTTTTTTTCTTTCTATTACAGCCGTCTGTATTGGCTTTGTCTGTGTTGGCTCTGGAAATACACGAGCATAAGTTGTTTGAACTGATTGATGCATTGGAATCTCTCCAAGTTTATTCTAAGGTGAGAATAACTTTGCACATAACTGTCTTTAATTACTTTACATTACCTAATGCATCTATGGTACGATTTTAAGGTTAGAGAGTGGCTCATGTCACATTGGGTGTTGAGAGGGGTAAAAGCTAGCATTGGCAGACATAGGATGTTTATTTACTTTTCAGAGTCATTAAACCTAGGATTAAGGTAAAGGGTTTGTTTAGGTTTTGGTAGGGGTTTCATTGAGAGTGGACAGTGTTTAGGATGTGTGCAGTTTGATCAATTATTTGCAATCTACTCCCCTTTATATATCTTTTCTTGTCTAGTCGGACGCCTATGACTGACTGAGCTGCAGCGGCTGTTAGTGTGTTACCCCTCTCAACACTCAATGATGTCTTTGCTCGTTCTGCAAGGCATTTCTGTGCCTAGCCCCTCTCTCTCTCATCTCTCATCTCTCCCTATCAGCCCATTTGAGCTACAAAACTGCATATTATAAGTACTGGAAAAAGAAGCCTCTACGGGACAGGCACTTGTAGGCAGGTGCCTACTTTGCCTTAGATAACATCCAGTCCAGTGTTCTCCAATAGCAAAGACCATGCCTGTGCTCACATTAATGTGATGCAGCAATCTGACTTACAGTGCTATATTCTATAATTGACATCTACATGGTTTCCATTATCAGTGAGGTTGCAACTATGGAGAACTTTGAAGCTGTCTGTTACTGGACAATGCAGGCACAATATTTTCCCTTTCAAACCATGGAGAGTGGTTAGAGTGCTCTTCTCCTCTCTATTGAGGGGACCATAATATGCACCTTTTTGGAACCTTGTCCAATATGTCACCTTGATGACCTTGTCTTGTATTTATTCAGTATTGCAATACCCTGTTGGTAATGTTTCTCTAGCACAAAATGTTATATCATACATTTTTATTTTTTTTCCAGATGAGCAGCAGAGATTTGTTTTGTTGGAAAGAACTAGTATCAAAGTGTCTGGCAGAATATTCTACAAGCAAATGTTCCAAACCAAATGTTCAGAAACTCAAATGGATTGTGTCTGGCCGCACAGCAAAGCAGCTGAAGCATAGTTATTACAGAATAGCACATCTTCCTACTATTCCAGAGTCTGGCTCATGAAAAGGTATTTTAAATTTTTTTTTTTTGCATTATCTGGATAATAAAATATTATTTCTTTATGGAAATATCATAAGACTTCTAAATGGTTATTTATTCAGTCAGCATTTTAGTTGTCATATTTGGTATGACTTCGGAGGGGTTTAGAAAAGCATGGTGGGGAGGATCTAAAACCTAAGAAGCCTGATTAGGATGAGTGAGAGGTCATGTAAATGTCAAATCTTCAACTCTTGAAGTCGAAACAATTGAAGCCTTATAGGTCACTTGTTTAATCCGGAAATTTTACCAAATCATAACTTTCATAATTTTCTAATCTGAAAGATAAGGAGAAAATTAATGTGCCAAAATGAAAAGTGAATAAATTGTCAATTCTACCCAAATTGTTTTGATTCACTTAATCAACACTATTCCACTACAATGTTTGTCTGCCCTTATAATACTACCGTTTTTTTAATATTTATCTTGAGAACACACAAAACCAGATTCAGGCTATGACTGAATAGTTGTTATGGACTTTTTTTTTTTTTTAAGCAAAGTCTATGAGCTGTTAATCTCTAAAATCTATTTTGCTTCTTTGCAGATCAGAGCATAGAACCATCTACACTGTTGCTTTTTTAAATTATTTTTATTTATGGACTATACATCTGAAATACAGAAATATGGAGCCTGGAGAAGATTTGGCAGTGTTTAAGTATTTATGGTAACAAATATTCCTGTGCAACATCAGTAAAAACTAATGCACTTTAAATTTCAAGAGTGTTACACAAGAAATATTTAGTATTGTATTTTGTACTGAAAAACTCTTTAGACATGGAGTAATTTGCCATTTGAAATAACCTGGGTTTCAATAGCTTTAAGCCCCCAGAAATATTTATTAATCTGTATGGTGGATAAAGACTGAAAGCTAGGGGTTTGAGAAATGTATTAAAAGTACAAGTAACAGTCTAACTTGAGTATATTTTAGATGGTCTGTATCAGTTCCTGTTCTAAAATACAGTTGGAAAAGTTTGCTAACACTAACAAGCAGTTTATCCATGATATGGCTTGCATGTGTTTGTTTCTTATTCAGCGAAGCTAGGAAAACTTTATAAATTTTAGTTTTCTTGGAACACTATAGTTTAAGAATTTGATGATAGTGCGAAATATAACACAACACATGTTAACATTGCAATGTTGTCTTTAAACTCACCTAAAATAATTTGAAGTTCTGCCTTGGTGCTTGTGTATGTGTGCGTTAACATGTTCATCTGGAAACAATCTGTGATTTAAAAAAAAAAAATTTTTCCTTCCCCAGTATCTGTGAATTTCTCAGGAGAGTTAAAAAACTTGTATGGAAGTCTGATAAAATATGCTTCAGGTTTTACGAAATGTGATTTGCGCAATCCATAATTTTTTTTTAATTTTTTTTTAATTTTATTTTTTTAAATGGTTTTTCTGCGTAGACCTCAGAACTGAAGTTGCACAAGGTCACATTGTTTAGCAGAAGTGCCTCTGCAATGCAGTAAGAAATGTACCTTTCAATAAAATGTATTGGAAAGCAAAAATTTTAAGGTTTCTTTTTGTTTTTATGTTTTGTTTTTTCTCTCTTCATTATATGATATGGAATACAAATTCTAAAATACATTTTTTAAACTATTTTAGATAGGGATGCGCCGAAAATGGGCCTATCCTGTTTCGGCCAAAAACAGGTAAAATTTGAAATAAAAAATATGTTTTCATTTTTGGGATGGGTGGGAGCAGTGGGGGGAAGAACACTATGGGTGTGGGGAGGGAGGAAGCCACTACCTGGTGGGACAGGAGGTGGGAGAGGGGAGGGAGAACACTCATGGGACTGGGGGAGAACACCATGGGACAGGGGAGGTGGGGAGAGGGGGGAGGAGAACACTATGGGACTGGGAGAAATACCAGGACAGGAGGTGGGGTGAGAGGGGAGGGAGAACACTATGGACCTGGGAGAACACCATGGGATGGGGGGGAACACTATGGGACGGAGGGATGGGGAAACACTACACCTGAGGGGAGGGGGGAACACCAGGATCTGAGGGGAGAACACTAGAGGGGAAGAGAGGAACATTAAGCGGGGGGGATCACTAAAAGAGAAGGGAAGTTTTTATTCATATGAGATTGATTAAATTCATTAAAAAGTCTAATATTAAAAAAATTATAGGAAAGAAACTTTTAAAAAATCATTTGGGGGGGAAAAATCATTTTCGGTTTCGGCCCAGAATTTTCATTTCGGGGCATCCCTAATACTTCTATCTATTCAATACATTGTTAAACACAGATCTGTACACACCAGTCAAGCCATATTTGCTTTTCCCACAGAAATCTCAAATTTGCAGTGATGTTACTACCACAAAGGATTCTGAGTGGACATATGCAAATTAGTTCAACAATGAATCACCTTTTTGCCTCATTAGAATTCCATTTAAAAAAATGGATTCCTAGAAGTTTATTTGCTGTATACAATAGCTTTGAAACACAACTCAGGATTAAATGCAAAGCCAGCGAACCACTCAGACATCTGTTTCATTGTTAATGCAACTCATCATGGTTACTGGCTTGCTATTGAGGCTGGGTGTTACTTGCGGAGCAAAAATCTATAATAGTTATGGTGGGGGAAAAATATGCATCTCTTCCCAAGTTGTGTTTCAAAGCTGTTGTATACTGCAAACAAACTTCAATGAATCCATGTTTAAATGGAATAATGAGGCAAAAAAGGTGACCTTTGTTTAACAAATTGGACTCTCCCCAGAAGCGCAAGAATGGGTGAGGGACCGCAAACCTCTCACCCTACCGGAAGCCGCTAGGTTGGCGGACCAACATTTTGATGCCAGGAGGCTTCATGGGCCAATTAGTAAGAGTTACCCGAGACCACCTGCACCACTCCACACGATCCCCTCCGCACCAGTTAACTCCACTCCATTTAGGCCAGCACAAGGGAACCCGCCACCCTCCTCTCGCTACAACGGCAGATCAAATATTCAGTACCATACCTGCCGGCAGTGGGGGCATATGTCCCGAGAGTGCACCCAGAACCGGAGCAGACAAGCGTGGAACCAAGTGAGGCAGAACACCACCCCAAGGGCAGCGGCATATCACTACCAGGTGGAACCTGACACCCAAGAGTTGCTGAGTCTTCAGACCGAGGAACCTCTGGGCGTATTATATGAAGTGATGTCTGTCCAAGCCACCGACAAGCGGCAGCATCATCGCCAAGAAGTACAGGGACTACGGGACTTGAGAGCTACCTTGACCCTGGTGGCCCCTCATTTGGTACCAGATACCGCGCACACCGGCGGGTCTGTGGCAGTTCGGGTGGCGGGGGGAGCCATGTACCGCCTACCCACTGCGAAGGTACATTTGAACTGGGGTGCTGGGGAGGAGGTCGTGGAAGTGGCTATTATGAAAAAATTACCCGCGGATGTCGTATTGGGGAATGACTTGGGCCGAATGACGTCTGCATTTGTACCTCAGGCCCCTCTGCAAGAGGCGCATCCTGTGACTACTCGACAAAAGGCTCGCACCATGGTTCCACCAACACACTCTGAGGCTCAGGTAAGAGACCGTGACTCACCCCTGACCTATATGACCTGGGACACCCCGACCGCCTTTGAAGCCGAGGTCCAGACAGACCCCACGTTACAGTTATACAGGGATAGAGTAAGTAATGATCAGGCAGGGCTGGAGGGGGAGCGGTACATTTGGGAGAAAAAGCTATTGTACAGGATAGCCGAGAGGGTGATAGGGGGCTCTGTCACAGTGAAGACCAAGCAGTTGGTAGTTCCCCAAAAATATAGACTGGAGCTGTTGAGGATAGCTCACGATATTCCCCTCTCTGGCCATTTAGGTATGACCCGTACCCGGTACCGGCTGACACACGCCTTTTTCTGGCTGGGAATTTCCAAGGACGTGAGGCACTACTGTACCTCCTGTGACGTGTGTCAGCGAGTAGGTAAGAGGGGGGACCGCCACAATGCAAAACTGTGCCCCCCTTCCCATCATTGAGGAGCCTTTTAGCCGTGTGGCCGTAGACATAGTGGGGCCGCTACCTAAGCCTAGTCCCTCTGGGAAGCGGTATATCCTAACCGTGGTGGACTACGCCACCCGGTACCTGGAAGCTATCGCCCTATCTAATGTACACGCTGAAACAGTAGCGGAGGTCCTGATGAAAATCTTCTCTAGGGTAGGATTTCCTCAGGAGATCATCTCTGATAGAAGGACCCAATTTACAGCCGAGGTCACTCCGCAATTATGGAAGATATGTGGCATTAAGCCAATCATAAACTCCGCTTATCATCCCCAATCCAACGGATTATGTGAAAGATTCAACGGTACCCTAAAACAGATGCTCCGTACGTTCGGAGAGTCCCATAATGACTGGGAACGATTCCTTCCCCATTTGTTGTTTGCTTATAGAGAAGTACCCCAGGAATCTACCGGCTTTTCTCCATTTGAGCTGTTGTTTGGGAGACGGGTACGGGGACCGTTTGACCTGATTAGAGAGCATTGGGAGGGAGAGAGTAGTGCAGATGGAACCCCTATTGTGCCATATGTGCTGGCGTTCAGGGACCGCCTGGAGGAATTGACCCAGGCAGTACGCGCTAACCTCCAGGCCGTCTAACAACGGCAGCGCCGCTGGTATGATAGAGGGTCTAGAGACTGTAGTTTTCAAGTGGGATAAAAGGTGTTGATCCTCAAACCTGTCCGCACAGACAAACTGCAGGCCGTTTGGCAGGGCCCATACCAGGTGGTAGAGCAGAGATGCGACACCACCTATGTGATCGGCCCATGCTCCGGGGTAGGGACGCATGTGAACATGCTCAAACCGTACCACGAGCGGACCGAGGACGTGGCTGCCATATGCACGTCCGCCTCGGAATATCAGGAGAATCTGCCCCTCCCTGATCTGCTAGAGCAGGAAGAGCCCTCCAAGGGGGTTCAACCGGGGGAGCGGCTAAGCCCTCAAGAGCGAACCCAGGTACAGGAGCTGATAGTGGCGAAAGGCACCACTTTCTCCAACTTACCTGGGCACACTCCGCTAGCCACCCACCGAGTAGAAACTCCTGGACAGCTACCGATGCGGCAGACCCCATATCGGATTCCAGAATCCGTACTGGAACATATGAGGAAGGAGATTGAGGAGATGCTGCAGTTAGGGGTTATCGAGCACTCAGCCCCTGGGCATCATCGGTAGTCCTGGTCCCCAAAAAGGATGGTACGACCCGATACTGTGTGGACTACCGGAGGCTGAACGACAAAACAGTGTCTGACGCCTACCCGATGCCCCGGATAGACGAGCTGCTGGATAGGATGGCCAGAGGCCAGTATCTTACTATGATAGATTTGTGTAAGGGATACTGGCAAATCCCACTAGCCGAGGATGCCATCCCCAAGTCGGCATTTGTCACCCCGTTTGGCTTGTACCAGTTTAGAGTCATGCCATTCGGGATGAAGAACGCCCCCGCAACATTTCAGCAGATGGTAGATCGGCTACTAGATGGATTCCAGGATTATGCATGTGCATACCTGGATGATATCGCCATTTATAGCCAGACCTGGGACGAGCACCTATGCCAAATAGGGGCGGTAATAGATCGCATCGGAGAGGCAGGGTTAACCCTGAAGCCTAGTAAATGCCACATAGGGATGGCGGAGGTGCAATATTTGGGCCACCGGGTAGGAAGCGGGCAACAAAAGCCTGAGCCAGCAAAAATTGAAGCCGTAGCGCAGTGGCCCACCCCTAGGACTAAGACCCAAGTCCTCGCATTCCTGGGTACCCCCGGGTACTACAGGAAATTCATACCCAACTACAGTGCCCAGGCCAAACCCCTGACCGACCTGACGCGTAAGAACCTACCCAGACAAGTTATCTGGGCCCCAGAGTGTGAACAGGCATTTACCCAACTTAAGACTAATGCACCTGTACTCGCTGCTCCTGATCCAACTAAACGTTTTCTTGTCCACACAGACGCTTCAATGTTTGGATTGGGAGCAGTACTGAGCCAAGTTGGAGCAGATGGCGGAGAACACCCCGTAGCGTATTGAAGCCGGACACTGTTACCCTGGGAGGTGAGCTACGCCGCCATCAAAAAAAGAATGCCTGGCCGTGGTGTGGGCCCTGAAAAAATTGCAACCTTACCTCTACGGGCAACCCTTTTCCTTGCTCACAGATCATAACCCGTTGGTGTGGCTGAACCGTGTGGCTGGAGACAATGCCAGGCTGCTGCGCTGGAGTTTGGCACTGCAGCCTTTTGACTTTACTATTCATTATCGCCCCGGGAATCAAAACGGTAACGCCGACGGGTTATCTCGACAAACTGACTTGGAAAAGTGATCTGTGAGCCCTCCTCCGGACATCCCCAAGCCGATCCGTTGGGATCAGACTGTATATGCCGGCTTGGTTCTGGGGGAGCATTGTGGCAAACCTAGCCACTTGGACATTATTTAAGTACTGTCGCTTTAAGGGTTGCCTGTATGATTTTCGTGATATGTGTGTTCCAGAGTATAATATAATGTGATTGTGTAACACTGTATAGCCTGCATTGGCTATCTGCCGAAAGCAGATGGCTGATTTCCTTTCGTTTTACGAACGGCACCTTTGCGGGCCGTTCGTGAACTGAATGAACTATAATTTAATAGCCCACACACTAAGAGACGTGTGGCGCTTGTTAACCGATTGCAACAATGTTTGGTCGTTAACCGATTGCAGCGGTGTTTGATCGTTGAGCGCATGGTACTAAAAACGGCTACTCGACGGCGCGAACACCGCTGAGCTTCCAGGCCGTTCGGGAGTTCTGGGCCGTTCGGTATTATGTTCCCTAGCATGCAATCGGTCTTTTGAACATGTGTTTTAATGAATGTGTTTTTCGTGCGGCGTTCGGTTGTTTTAGCTGGGATCTGAGCGGTAATCTCACGAATGATGCGCTCAGACCCCAGCTATCTACCGAACGTCCATTCGTGCAAATAGACCGTATATTCAAACAGTTATGTATTTTAATATAAATTGTCGGTTCTGCTGCACGGAGGGATAATCCACTTAACGGTACATTCCTGTGGGAGGATCCCTCTCGTGCAGCAGTGCCTGTTGGGAGAAATGTCCTGTACAGTGAGTCCCCCATGTAGTCCCCTCTGGGAATGCCCCTGGGAGGGGACTCAGGAAACCCCTTGCATGGGGACTTGTATAAATTGTGGAGCTGAAAATAAAGACCTCAGTTGACTCTCAGAACTGTGTTTCGTCCGGTTACTGGGAGATTTGGGATATTGCCTTGCTTTTTCCAGCGCTTGACTGTAGATTACTTCCTGAACCAGCGGAATTCGTGGATTTAATATTGGCGTTCCGCTACACCACCCTTAAGAGCTTGGTTAGTGGGTTGTTACGAGGGTTACCACCAACACCAACACATGAGACATCAATATTAGATAGGAAAGAAGAGTCAGTCAGATCTTGTTCTCTGAGAACACTGCGCGCCTGTGTCAACTAGGAAAGTTGTTGGATGACCCTCAATGGGTAGGACCACGGTAGCTAGGGGCCCCCCTTTATCCCCTGTAGACACTGCCATGACAGGGGCGTCGGACACAGGTTTGCCAGTTACCTATTGTAAAAGATCTAGATGGGCCTGCTCTGGGCAAGTGTAGTGGTGGGTGGGGGCTTTAGGCGCGGAATAGCCTTGTTGTTGTGCAAGACGCACAGGACGGTGAATGTTGGGTGTAGGGCGATTAGGTTGCTGATAACCAGCTGCATCATAGCCATCAGAAGGAAAATCAGTATAATCATGAGGTCCAGGCTGACTGTCAACGGACGGAGGTGAATAAATAGTCTGAGGGAAGCCCTGTGGAGGGTAGGCAGCCTGAAGCTGGGCTTGGGTCGCTGCAGAGGGCTGGGCATACAGGATAGGCTGCCCCAGGATTAGGAGGTCTTATGGCCTGTTGTTGCGGCCTATACACTCTAAGGTGTGGGCAATCCTTACGAAAATGGTCAGCCTGGCCAAAATTATAACAGGCCCTGGTTTGAGATCTTGGAGCCTGGGACATATCTGTGGTGAAGGCACATCAGGGGAGTACCTTTATTAGCCTGAGGTAATAATGCTGACTCCAGACCTTTAGCAACTAGGAGGAGAGTGTCCAGGGATATAATCCTGTATTTTGGACAGGAAAGGGTTAAGCCCTTTCTAATGGGTTCCTTTAAGCCTGCAACAAAGGCAGCTGACAGCATCTGGGTACATGCCTTATTGTAAATGCTGAAACCCAAATCATAAAAAGTCTGTGTTAACCTCGAGTGATATTTTTCCACGGACTCAATTTTATCCTGAACAATGTCATTAATGCAAGTAGCACAAGCACAAAGTTGTTCACAGAACATTATGCCTGATTGGAAATCTGTATCAATACGGAGACGGGCATTGTTACAAAAGACTCAAAATGACTGTGTTACTGTTAATACCGATTGCTACTGTTACAACTCTATACGTTTAAGCCGAGGAAAACACGAATGGATTACACAAATTCTTATAAAGACTCCATTCGTGATACGAACGAGGGACCCCCCAAATGCTGGCGTGTGCCGCCACTTAACCTCGTCACCCCGCAAAGTACCGAACAGTTGACCACCCGACCAGCGAAGTGTGGCAGCCATTAACCACCCAGGCGGCTGCGGTCTGCGGTTAACCACAGACTAATTGATTGGCCCGGGGGGGATCGTCATTCGCACACAAAGCACCGAAGGGAACCTACTGAACAACCACACGAACGGAGACCCCTACAGTGGGTCACGTGGCGGCCATTAGCCTGTGGTTTCTGCGGTTAACCGCAACTCAAGTACCATGCTACCAGGTGGTCCTCGTTCATGTACCGAATGAGTTCCACTACCAGACAGACAGCGGGGCTTCGCATGAACTGATACCCGGGTTTAGTTCCATAAGTTGGAAGCGAGGTCCCGCTGCCCGCTAAACCGTCTGAAAACATGGCCGCCATCAGAGACTCACGATCCAAAATGCCGAACGGACTTTATACGGCAGAAATAGCCCGTTCTGTTCGTGGGATTAGAGCGCCATTCGTATGTTTAATGTATACGAACGCGAGCTATTAAATGAATGGTAGAATGGGCTGTTTTCCTTTATTAATGTTAAAGTTATGGATTTTTATGCAGTTTTCTGGGACATAATAAAATGTGGTCTTTTGTGCGCTTGGACATAATTAGATTGTATAACCGTTGGCCTCATTATCTCCAAGCTGGACGGGTACTAATTCAAATGATACACTGTATTGTGATTGATTACTTGTCTGTACTGTACCTGTATTCCATCAGGTCCTCAGGGGGCTGTCCTTGGACCTGAGGAATCACATAAATTGCCATGTTGTGTGCCAGTAAAGCCAGTTCGTTTTGACCCTCAACTTGCAGCCTCGACTCATGTTGTAGGGATCTGGGATATTGATGCTTATACCGTGTTTGGGATATTCTACACTTGCAGCTTACTACCGAAAGACCTCCGTTCGACTCTCTACTGCGGGAACCAGGACTTCTAAGCGATCAACCCCTCTGCTAGACCGGGGGCAATCGTAACAGGCATCATCAAAGCTCCTTTCCTTAATAGGCCAATATGCATCCCTGGCTTTGGTTTCACAGAGGCTAGATAAGTCACGCCAGGTAGCTGAATATGTTTTACGAATCTGGGCAATCCTATGAAAGAAGGGCATGGGCTGTTTCTCTGGGTCTGGGAGGGACGTTACTAGAGTTGCTGCTTGGGATGGGTTGAAGGTAACATACATCAAAGGGGCTCCATTGACAGCCGGTAGGATGCTGGGATGACCTGATGGGGCAAGTAGCGGTTGGGGAAACTGAGGGGTATTGTTGGGGGCTCGTGGTGGGCCCAACCCCTGACTGTTATCAAAGGGAGCGGGGAGCGATAAGCCATGATAACTGGGTACATCTGGTGAATTCGGTGCTTGTGCTGCTGGAGTGCCGGAATCAGGAGAACCAGCATGGGCAATTTGAAGTGTAGCTAGTTGGGATGTGGTAGGGTGATAGCCTGAGGCTGCGGGGGAAGCAGGCTGGTGTGGGTCTGACACGACAAAGTCGGCCGAACCAACTGTCATAATGGGGTAGCTGGGGGCAGGGACGGAAAAGGAAGCGGTAGGTGAAAAGGTTAATTGACTTCTCTTTAACTCCCTCAATTCTCGAATCTCCGATCACCACATCAATTGATGGGAGTTCTTGTTTAGCAAATAATGACAGACACGAAAGAGTGCTCTAACAAGTTCTCAAATTAGTGTACTTTCAGGGCTTGCCCTTTGTGCCGCCGGGTGCGAGGCCACTCCTGTCAGTCCGCCCGGGGAGAGAGCCGGCCTCAGTCTGCAGCTCCGCCGGGTGTGAGCTGCAGACTGAGGTGTCTCGCGCTCTCCAGCCAATCAGAGTGTTGCCGCGGGTTACCACGGCAACGCTCTGAATGGAGATCGCGAGACATTCCCCATGTGGTCTGCAGCTCTGCATCCGGCGGAGCTGCAGACCGGAAAGCCCACTGGACCACCAGGGAGCCATCCAGGACACTGGACCACCAGGGAAAAAGGTAAATTTTGACCCCCCCTCACCCTGCACCCCACCTACCTGTCTCACCCTGTCACCCCCACCCCCCCTCACCCTGTCACCCC